GAAATAAATGAAAGATGACTCTTACAGTTTTGAGATACCTTAAAAAAAACCCAAACCTATTTTCAGCAATATTCCAAGGAGAGGGTCATGTCCTGCTTCTCAGGCTGCTGCCTTGTTAATCTTTTTTTTTTTTTTTTTTTTTTTTTTTTTTTTTTAAATAGAGAAAGGGAGGTTGGCAAAATCACTGTTAGCTAATTTTCTGTGCCAAACAGAACAGTTTATATTTCAAAAGAGAAAAGATTAACAGTAATTAGCAGCCCATGTTAGCCATGCAAGCACAGGGGAAGCTCCCAAGTGAGTTGCGATTACAGACCATTACCTACGGGCCCCAGCCTGTCCGCCAGGCATTCCCGCAGGTCAAGCGGTGCACAGCACACTCTGTACCTTCAGCAAAAGGTCTCTCCAAGCCACCCGGATTTTAAACCTTTTGCGTTTTCTTTTGGTAAAGGCAAGTGCATAGTTTCATGAATAACTTATTGGTAGATAAGCTAAAACATGAAGATTAAGAGTGCATAAATTGCGCCCAGAAACTGCCAACATACAAACTTATACAGCTCTCTAAATGGCAATAAAATAAATGATCTCATGTTTATGGCACGTAGGATAGCAACACACATGTCTGCCCAGGGCGCTATCTAGCTTGATGCCCGCGACTTCTCCATGCAGTCATCCCGAGGTGACAATGCCCAGTTGCTGCTCAAAACCCACCACTACCTATAGCTGGAGCACTGACCTAGGAAGACAGACGGAGGGTTTGCAGAGCCCCGCACCGTGTGACTGCCCACGCTGCACACGTGTGCCACAACGCAGCCCTGCAACCCATGGATGCCCTGGGGTCACTCAGGGAAGCTACAAACTCAGGCTCAGCTTCAGCTGACAAACCCTTGGCACTGAGATGCGCTGCCACAGCATGCCATAGGGGCGTGCAGGCCAGCCAGCCTCTCGAGCAGGAGTGGGGCTCAGCTCGCTCACTGGACGGGACGTCGCCGGAGACCATCCCCAGTGCCAGGGCCGTTCCTGCACACAACGGTGCTTTCCACCTGCATAAAACCAGTTTTTCAAGTCTGTACTCAAACTGTGCAGTAACCACGCAACAGACCACCCAAGGGTTTGTGACCGACCAGAGGGTCACAGGCAGGAACAGAGGGAATTGTAAAAGAATCAAAGTCTGCCTGGATCCTTCTTGCCCTACTGAAGCACACCAGGCCATCACTTATCAGCAATAATTCCACATGAGCATCCATTATCGCCAACCGTGTCCTTTAGTCAAGTGTATTGGGGCACATATCTACTATGTATAGTAAGCAGGACACTAAAAATCTATGCAAAGTACCATAATTAATCATTGGCTGTGTCTGTGACATGAACTTCTAAGAGTTTTCAGCCTAAAATCAAGTTCCTAATTACATTATATTAGTTATATGACATTTGTTTCTAACATTTCTTGAAATTTTAACTATTTAATTCACAAATATACAAATGTTTGTTCTTAAGAAATCATTTGCCTCCATTTGACTCTTGAAATTAGAGTCATCCTCATGGCAGCAGCAAAGAACTAACAGAAGATCAGGCAGAAACAGTCTCAGGAAGTTCTAAAGTTTTGCTACTCATACCCAAACCTCCTTTCAAATGAGGAAATTGCAACTGGAGCTCCATTTGTTATTGGAACATGACTTTTCTATGTAGTTAAACATACATTCAGCAGCAGTAACAGAGGAAAAGGTATAAATGTGCACAAAAGCCCAAGCACAAAGCTGATTCTTTCTCAACTTGCCCCAATCTGTTTTTTTTTTTTTCCCTCTGCAATGTGCTTAAATTCAAACTTATTTCAGCAAGCAAGTCCTGCTTGTAATATCATAACAGATATTAGTCAGGTTGACAGGAGCCTAAGAATATCTGATATTTAAAGTGATCCAAATTTTATTGCCTGTTTCCATCCATTTCAGCTGACTTGGACTAAACCTCAGCAACCTTATTTTGCATTGACTCCAGCTTTAACGGCTGCCTCCTGGTCACACTTGTTACCTAGCTCTCGTGTGGAGTTTCATCACTCTAGAGACGAGCCTGTTTCCTCAGTGTCATGGTCACTTGGATAGAAAACTGTGCGTCTGAGTGTAAATTCATTGTCGTTTGGTACTCTGATCAATTAGTTCTTTATAATAAGCCCCCCAAATAAATATAGAGCACAAAACTAACTGGACCCTAAGTTTATATTGCAAATTAGGATCATCTTAACTGAAACATTCCACTCAACTCACTGAAATATTGTTACTTGACATAACAAAACTCTATACAGAGGTAAGTAATAAATTAAGAAAAAAGTTATAAAAATGGTCACACGTAGATTACTCCCACATTTATCTACTTGTAAAACATTTATGATAGGGGGTCTTTCCCTGGAAGGAAATTTGCACTCTTAAGACCTTACAACTCAAAACACTTTCTATATTGCTTCTATTACTAGAGCAGGCCCTTGGCTTTATGACCAGCCACCTACATGCAGCTCTCTACAAGGAATTTACTACTCTGCTCATTGAGCTTTTTCTCCTGCCTTTTATTGTGGATTGAATGGCCATTCACACGTCAAATACCACTTGCTTATACATCACACACAATGTGGGATGACACAAAGCTCTCTATTACTCTTAAACAAACTACAATACAGGATATATGTGGCTGACTAAGATCATTTTCAGATTCATCTTGCTTGAGCAGGCTGCAGAACCTGGCTGCAGTGCAGCTGATACAGACATACATAAAACCCTTGGACACTTTGGTAATAAATCACCAGAAATACATCCAAAGAAACAAACTTGACATTTTTCCTTATTTTCATCATCAGTTACAGCTTCATTAGGTTTTGTTATTTCTGTATTTAAATAGAAAGTGTTGCTTATTCATTTAGATTTACATCAAGAAAACAGAAGTTAAACACACCCTATTTGTTCCTTCTTTCTAATTAAAGACTAGAAGCTACTTTTAATAGTGACCTGAAGCTTGCAGAACAGCTGCTAATACACGGTAGGAAAGGGAGGGACCTTTTAGCCATTATGCAGAAAAGAGGCTCTTAGGAAGAGCTAGATGTGCTGCTACCTTGTGTCCCAGGAGAGGCAGCTCTGACTTTGCTTTGTCTTACCCATCTTATCCAGCACCGGAGCTACGGGGCCTGGGCTATAAAGAGCAGAGTGCAGCCCCACTGCCACAAGAGCAAATGTCTGTAGATTTGAGAGAAGTGGTACTGAGATCAGGCTGTACAAAACACTATTCTGTTGGAAGGAAACATTTAACAAACTCATGTGCCATACTGTGCTACTGAGACACAGTAAAGTCATACTCAGGAAAGAACCCGTAAGCCCAGGCTCTACTTCAATTTTGTCATTTATCTTTGCAAAACTCAGAGGAAGTCATTTCACCTTTTAAATCTTAACTTTTAAAAAGATGTTGAAGAGATGGAACTCTTGTTTTAGCAAACACAACAAAAATAATTAAGTCTACCAAAATAATACAAGGAAGAAGTTGCACTTCCTTATTTTAAATACAAAATTAGCTAACTACACAGTGGTTACATTTTCAGTGTAATATCTTGTTAGCTTAGCAAGTAATCTTGAAACTTTGCAGATATTAACTTAATAGATTATCTCTTTATTTGGACAGCACTTACCATCACCACCTAGTCTTTGAAGCAGCTGTTTAAGGGTGCTTTCCAGAGACTGTACTTAGGAATTTGAATACTGACTCAGCTCCAGCCAGAGAAGGAAAGAACCATCCTTTGAGTCATCCTGGAGGCAGTTCTCATATGAAGAGTCTTCCTGTTTTACTGAAAGGCTGCAACTCCATTTTCACGGTATGCCTAGATCAGTGGAACTGTTTATAAAAACAGATGCTTCCCATGCAAGAGTACAGACTCTAGCCCAGAATAACAGCAAAAGCAGGCAAGGAGCACACTCAGCAGACAGCTTTACCAAATTTGACTTGATAGCAGAAATTGCAACTTCCAGACACAACATCTATATTTAAATCCTTTTCCTTAGATTCCTGTTGCAAGGTGAAGAGCAAAACCTACTAATACTTGTTCTAGATCAACGATACGTTCTAGGTAACAGCGAGCGCCGGGTGGGCCCAACTGGGACGCTCCGAGTGCCGCCCAGCGTCGCAGGGGTCAAAGCGAGCGCCAAGAGCAGACGAGTCCTCGTGAGGAGAGGACACCCCCTTCCACTCAGTGTCTGTCCAAAACCAATGGAGGAATCGGTGTATGAAATACGTCAGCCCACAATTTGAAGCATGCGTAATAGATTAAAATGAGAAGGAGTCATTCTGACAAATTCTCTAAGAATAAACCCAAATCGAAGACATATCCCAAGAAATGCATCTGTAACTATTCAGAGATTCCTTTTTGTAATTCCACAAGGGATAGTCTTTTTCTCTTTCCTTCTTTTTAAACTAAAAGCAATTACACAAACACATTAGTAGAAGACCACAATCAAGTCTCCAGGCTAACACCTAAACTAATGAGCTCTCCCCCAGCACCTGCTCTTTCACTTAGCACCAGCCATAAGAACAGAAATATCCACATGCATCAGGGAATGGAGCTCATTCCTAATGGTGCTGACATTAGCTTCATTAAGAAAAAAACATAACAAGTTTAATGGCTGCTTTACAAGAATCCCCAATGATCCTAATTGCTGGTGAAAGGAGCTCCTGGAAGTATCAATAACCCGTCACATAAGGGCCACCAGGAATCAGCTGTTTATAGCATGGTCTTCCACACACCTCTCATTTTTCATTCCAAATTTGTGGATAGCCAAAAATTGTAACTGTGAGGAGACTTGGGCAAATACTGCAATACAAACACTTTAAGAATTTTTAAAAAGAAAAATAAAGAAAACCTTGCTCCACTACAGGCACAAAGGCACAACCACAGCACAAGCTCACTTTACCAGGGGCCTCAGCGCACATCCACAGCGCTCCACTCATCCACCTCCAGGGAACGCAAAACTCACTTTTAAAACTCCCAGCTGAGGACGCCCACACTTCAACGCCCGGGATATGTCAAACAAAAACCTTCACTGCCGCCTATTCGTTTCCGATGCAGTCGTGACCGATCTTCCCCAGCACGTCCCTCCCGGGGCGCCGGGCTGCGGGGGAGGCCGGCGCCGGGCCGCGCTCCCCGCGCCGGGCGCTGACACGCGCCGCGCCCGGCGCCTCTCCCTCTCCCGCGGGCGGCGCGGCCCCGCTCGCAGGTGCGCAGCGTTTCCGAGCGCGGCCCTGCGCACCCTCCCGAGCGCGAGTTCCAACGCTTTATTTTCATTTCGCTTTTAAATACCTCGAGTTACAAAGCACAGGTGGCGGCAGCCCGCGCGCGCACGGAGCGGCCGCGGGGCCGCGCAGCCCGGCACGGTCCGGTCCGGTCCCCGCTCCGCGGGCCGGCTC